TGTAGCTATTCAGTGTTTTTGGGGTGCAAAGGGAAAGCTGATCTACTTCTGGGGAGATCTTTTATTTTGTTAGTCTTAGTTCCGTGATGTGATGATAATTCTGTTCTGCGTTTTATTGTAGTAGTTCAAAAAGGAACGAATTTAGTACATAAACATCATCTCATTTTAATATTTGTTGTTATCTACAAAGAAACGTTATTTATTTTCTTAAAGTAAGTACTTTTTCATGTTTTTTTTTGCGTTGTATAATGTGTGCAGGCTTCAGGGAATGACGCAAGTTGAGTTTAAATTCCGTTTTTTATTCACTCCGGTTATATATTAAATTTCGCTCTTATGTCTTATGCTCTTATGTCTTTTATAGCAAGACATATTTACCGTAATTAAAAGCGGTATTAAAAAAAACTAGACAGTTTATCTGACATACTTTCTTAATCATTTCTATGAGACTAAACTGTAAAAAAAGAAAGCTTAGAATGCGAGCGCAGCGAGCATGTGCAGCTTTTATAAAAAATAATTCGCCGATGTTTCTGAGAACCTAATTTTTAACAAAGAAATGATTTATTTTATACAAAAAAGAGAATCTTAAAAACAATTGTGATTGTGGTTGATTATTACAGTTGACTCCTTACAGACTCTTTTTTTAATTCTACTTCTGGAACTAAACTTAAAAAAAAAAAATTAGAATGAGAGCGCAGTTCACGTTTAATTTAAAGAATAGTCCAAAGTTATAACACTTTCATAAAAATCGGGTGAGTTATTCTTGATTTGTTCAATAAAATAGTTCTTTGTAAAATTAATTTGTGTTTTTTTATTGAAAACAATGGACGCATTGATAAACTACAACTACGGAGTGTCGTGTTTTGGTTAGGATGTATTCCGCAAAATTTTGAGATGTCACTAATAAAAAAAAAACACCACTTACCACCTTCAGGAAAATTTTAACACAATCCTTCCGTTCTCTGAAAAATTCAATTTCAAGTGCACACGGACCTTTCGGTTTACAACAAAGAAATTTGAAATCGAACCGACGTAGAAATGAACTTTTCTAACAGACACATCATGCATCTAACGAGCTCTACACCGAATGTAACAATTTTGATGCAAGTTGAGTTGTTGTGCCATTCACAGAAGGTCACACTTGGTTTGGGGGCGATGGTCTCCTTTGACGTTCCCGTTGTGTTTGTTGACTATTTTTGTCATTAAAAATTTGCGCTTCTCCACCTTTTGGTAGATGTGGCAGAAATACAGAATTACTTACTATGTAGCAAATAAGCGTATTACAATTAATTTACTTAATATGATAAAGCGTCTTTTGTAATAACTCAATTAACTGATGCAGGTAGGTGTTACACAAGAACGCAATTTAATGCACTGACACGTCGATGCGTATACTAAAAACGCATTGAAAGACTCTAAAACATGTACGGGGCGTTTTTTGCAGTCGCATTTTTTTTTCTAAACGCGAAATCTAGATGTAATGAGTGTCAAATAGCGATGGCACAGTACAAAGCAGAGTACAATGACGGATATAGAAAATATAACTCAGATGAAATATACACCGAGAGTTCTGCTGGTGTAGTCTTGATTACCGACGTATAGTTATCCAAACTTTGCTGCGAATTATTTCAGTTTTCAGGTGATGCGTATATACTTTATATTATTTACTCCAACGTGAAAATATTAGAAGATTCGTGTTATGAAACCGTATTCCAAGGTATAAATATGTTAAAAATAAGTCGGAGTGACATAAAATTAATCAAAAAAGCCACTTTAAAAAATATAAGCGTGGCAGCTATAGATTTGAGTTCAAATATGATACAAATAGTGGAAATCGGTGCTTTCAGTGACCTACTGCTATTGAGCGACCTCAATTTGTCCAAAAATCAGATAGAAGTATTAAATCCACAAGCAACAAGCAATGATAAATATGCGAGGACTAAACCGAATAGATCTTAGCTGCAACAAGACAGAACAATCGCATCTCTTATTATCCGTTTACGATTTTTATATAGTTGGGTTGGCCATGAAAATCTAGTGAGTTTATTGGTATTCGATGCAGAAGAATAAAAATTTCCAGAACTTATTTCGTTAGGTTATATTTTATTAAATTAGAGGTTAAAAAATATGCCAGAAATATAAACATTGTTGCCGATACTTTGTTTTCAGTAGCAATGACCAAGTTAACGGTGTCTATTTCTTAGAAAGCCTAAAACTTTACGCTATTTAAAACAGTTATTAGGCTTTTTGTAAGTGTTTATTTCATATGCAAGGAACAAACACTAAAATTTCACTTAAACATTGTTTTTATATGAATGGGGGTTCTACATACGACTATTGTCGCATGCCACATTTAGCATCTCATCTTTAATTCTCAATCATCAGTTCGTTCTGCTCGCCCACTCTTCTTAGAAATGGAAATTTCGACCTTTCTGAATAGCCTATTTCCATATCTTCCAACTTCTTTTTTCACTTTTCTAAGATTACTAAGAGGGTTGGTAAAAGACAACAATCTCGCTCTAGTGCTTTGATGGGGTTAGCTCTTCTGAAAGATTTTTCCGGCCTTAAATTGAATGTTTTATCTAGATAGCTATTACCAATGCTTACGTAAGTGCTCTTTATTTGCTTTTACTAAGTACTTCCAAACGCTTATTAATAAGAACGTTACTATACGCCTCCTCCAGGTCCATGAAGAGTTACAAAAAAAAATGAAAATGCTTAAAATTTGGTGCAAAGTTACAACGTGGATGATCTAACTAAAATTATACTTATTTTGTTGTACGTCAGGTAGTTTTTCACATACTACCTTGGTAAATTTAGAACGAAAGATGCGTAAAAATATCACCCTCCGACAAACTACAATTCACTCCATTTCCATTATTTCGCCATGAAAATCTGTATCATCACCGTCATTTTCAAATTCAGATTCTGAATCAGATTCACATAGTGAAATAATGAAAGGAGGTATAAATTCGTGCGAAAGATTTCCCATATTTTTTCCCAATCTGCCAAAATAAGTTTTTCACAATGTTTACAAAAACAAACTCGCCTGATTTTCATAGCCAACCCTACTATATGTATAAAGATCGTGAACGGATAATATATCCTGCAAACATTTTTTATATTAAAAAAAATTACAAACAAATTCATTGTTATAGCGCTGTCTAAGACTATCTGTCTGCCGATTTTCGTTTGTGTTGTGTTATAAAAAGATAGATTTTCTTCGAATGACATATGGTTAACAATTTCCGCAGAACAAATTTCCCCAACATGTCAATAGTTTCGGTTATAAAGATCGTATGGTTTTTGTGTAATTCCTGGATTTGGCACAGTCATGTTAATCGTTTTGTTCGGCGAAAGCTCTGTAACCTACTTTTGTCATATTGTGAACGTGATGATCATTCTGTTCTTCTTTACGATGTTGTCCAGAAATGAACAAAATCTTTTAATGTGTTTTTTGCATTTATGTATTACGTATACGTGTTATTTGGAGATGAAGGGTTTACAAATTTTATGGCAAAATTAAAACTCTAACTTGTCAGTTTAGTCACGGACTCACTTCTCTTTCGTCTGCAATTTTTTTTTTTTTCATTGATGGCACAAAATGGTATTAGCTATTAACCAAAAAACAAACACCAGTTTCTTAAAATTTTAACACAATTCGTTTTTCACTGAAAAAATTTCAAATTGACTTGAACTTATAATTGATTATTCTAGTTTTTCTAGCAAATGCGTCATGCATCTAATTAGTTATGCAGGGAATTTGACATTTTTTTGCAGGTTCGCAGACGTCACACTTCATGTAGGAGGGCAATGTTCCATTCCAATGTTTTTTTTTTTTTTAATTTGTCACTATATATTCACCAAAATGTTGCCCTGCTGTAGCTCGTGGTAGGTGTGGCTAAGATGATTTATTGCGATTTTATTGACGAATATACCCAATTTTAAATTCCAGCAATTATGTTTACTCAAAATTGATCGCAAACAAAATTTACGTTTATAAAGTTACGAGCACAATATTATACAAACCTATAATTTTTAACAAAATTTGCTCTCTCTAGGAGTATTTCAATTCTTTCCTCTGGCGATTTTTCTTTGTGTTGTCTTATAAGAAGATAGATTTTTTTCGGTTCACATGTGGTTAATAATTTCCGAAGAACAAATTTTCCTAACAAACCGGTGCTTTCGGTTGTAAAGACTGTCTGGTTTTTGTAGATTTCCTGTATTTAGTTCAGAGTCATTTTGGTCTGTTCAGATCGGAACACTGTCGTTGATCCTCTGACTTTTCAGTATTTTCGAGGTATACATAGAGTGGAAACTTCATTCTTTACTGTGGTCACTTCAGAAACCCACAAACTTACCACGACGTGCATAATGTTTGCATGAATTATCATCCTATTATATTAGTTGTTGTCTGAAAAAACTATTTTTGCATTTGATTATTGTTTCAACGTAACATTTCTAGGCTTCAGATACTAAATTTGTGGTACTCCATGTTTAAATTACATTTTTTTGTTCACTTGTGCTATGCAGGGTGTTTTTGAAAGATCTGCAAAAAAATCTGGTAAATCGTCACAAAACAATTACCCCGGTCGACACTTTTTTGGGTCAGTTACAAATATTAATTAAGTGCAAGGTCTACGTAAGTCAATAAGAAGTATGTTTGTCTATTGTGCAATGTGTGTTTTAAAGGACGAGGAATAATTCTAACAATTTCTCCATCTTTTGATTTTTCGACTTCTCGATGTCTCAGTTTTTGAATTTTTTTATGTCTCGATTTTTCCATTTGTCGGTTTTTCGATTTGTTGATTTTTCAATTTTAGGATATTTTAATTTTTAAATGTTTCAAATTTTATATTTTTCGATTTTTCGATTTTTCAGTTCTTCAATATTTTTTAATTTTTCAAATTTTTACGACTTTTTGGCATTGCTTTTTTGGCTTTTCGATTTCTCAATTTTTCAATTATAACACAATATTGTTTATAAAATTAACACTCAAGTGGTAAGAACAACCGTATAATTTTTAACAAAATTTGCATAAGTTAATAATAATAGTTAATAAAATAAATTAGTATAACAATTCAACATAAACGCCACAGGACACACAAGTGCAAAAGCAATACAATAATATAAGAATGAAATGCATTTTCGTTTTCGTTTGGCTTGCGGTAAAGTATGCATCGGATCTTTCAAGAAATGAATCCTTGCGTACATTGAACACATTTCAAAAAAACTCTTCCACTCCAGGTTCTCCATGTTGAACGGAAACAACTCGCGGTCTTTTTCCGTCAAGGCTTTCCACAACATTTCGCTATTACTGGTTTCATATTTCCAAAAGTTCACGTTAAAGTATCCTACTTCGCCACACACTTTGTGTAATTTTTGGTACATTTTGACGAATCTAAAAATGTTTTAATGTGAAAAGTTTGTGCACAAAAACACTCACCTTCGTTTTTTTCCAAGACACAGGCAAATCAGATCCACAATATACGCTGGTACGAGATGAAGCCAGAATTGGAGGAATTTAAGATAGTACTTGTTTGTGGTAGAAATCACGAAGCAGACATTAATGACGTGCGCGCTGGGGTAGAGTTTTGCTGTTACTTTTCCATACTCGTACAGTTTAGCTATGTGTTAAATGTTTCAAATTTTGTGAAGGTGACTAAATAAATGGCACTTACTTTTCGTTAAGAGATTTTTCTCAGAACCTGTATAGTTGTAGATCGGTGGAAGGGAACTTTTCTCTGTTGCGTAGCACGCAGCCGCCAAAATAATATTTGCTGTGTAATCAGATGGTATCAGGTATATAGGTTTAGTATCGGCTAGTTGGCAATGTATCAAACCTAGATACGCGCCTATGAAAAAGGCAGTGATACCTTGAATTGCGTCCTGCCAACCTGGTGCAGGTTCTTGGAGTGCGCCTACCACTGAAAACAACGCTCCAATAACTTCTTTCTAGTTTTATTTGTCTTATTTTTTAACTTACCAATCCCCGGTCTGACGATACAAATTGGCATATCTTGAGCTTCGGTTTTGATAACATTTTCGGCCACAGCTTTGGTGAATGTGTAGGTGTTGGGCCAAGAACCTACAAGTCTGGAAAAATTGAGAAAAATTTTGAAATAAAACGCTCAATGAATAAAGAAAGCTTCAGATTTTTCGCGAAACTTTTACTTACTCTGGAGTGTTGTTTGTTATTGTTTCGTCATCCGTTGACTCCAACATTTTCATTAGCTTTGTGGCTGTCATTCCAGGCTCATAGAATTGTTCTTTTATTAAATCTTTTTGGTTACAGTTTGAGTAAGCTGTGGAAACGTGCACCATGGCCTGATGTAACGAAAAAATAAATTAATTAAAATTAATTAGTGTAAATATTATAAAATCATGGAAAAATTTCTGATTTCATCTTTAATACTAGAAAGTTGTATAAAAGTTACCACGCATACCTTTAAATCACGAACTTGTTTTGCCAAATGAAGGAGATCTTGAACAGCGCGAACGTTAACATATGCAGCCAGTCGTAAATGCTCGCTAAATTTTACAATAGCTGCAACGTGTATAATACAAGTCGTTTCATTTACTAGAGTCTCTCTATCATCCTGCGATATTCCCAACCCAGGTAAACTGCAGTCTCCTTCGATAACAGAAATCTTCCCTTTGAATTCCGATTTATCCCGTCTCAAGTCCTACAAACATTTTTTCTACAAGCCCTAACAACTAAATGTTCGGACACGTATTCTTTTATACAAAAAAATGTAATTTAATGAAAAAAAAATGTATTTTACAAAAACAAAACTAGAGTAATATATAAGTAGGTATCTTTAATGCAATATTCTCAACAAAAATTGTAATATTATTAACTTAACAAAATTATAACACAACAAGAAGCTGATATGAACGAATAAACTTGGCAACTAAATATTCGGACATGAGTATTTTTTTTACTTAGTATGGTGTAACATCTCCTTTTGCTTTGATTACTGCGCGTATCCTTGCAGGCATAGTACTTACAAGACTTCTGCAGTATTCAGGAGTAAAACTTGCCCAAACTTCGTCGATTTTTGCTTTTAAACCTAAGAGTGTTCGTTGGGGGTTGTTGCGCAAAACGGATTTTATGTCGTGCCAAAGTGTCTCAATGACATTTAAGTCAGGGCTGTTCGCAGGCCATGAAAAGACTCTTATATCATGATCCCCAAACCATTTCTTAGTTCTTTTTGCGGTATGACATGATGCATCGTCCTGTTGAAAAATATAATCGTTGTCCGGATACAGTTTTTCAACAGAGGGCAACAAACTGTTTTCTAAAATTTGTTGGTATTTCATGGCGTTAATAGTCGTTTCCACCAATTCATAATTTCCCAACCCTTTAGCTGACATGCACCCCACACCATTATTCCTTTAGGAAACTTTACAGTTCGTTTTAAACAGTCTTTATTGAACGCTTCACTTTTTGATCTCATCACTCTTCTCCGCAAATCTCCCACGCCCACATCAAATTTTGACTCGTCACTAAAAATGACCTTTGACCAATCTTCCATGGTCCATGCCAGCTTAGACTTTGCCCAGTTGTACCTATTTTTCTTTTGATTTGCCGTTATTAAAGGTTTTTCTTTGGCCTGTAACGCCACGGTGGAACAAATGTAAACCAAAAACTTAAAAATTACCTTATAAAAACTTAATCCTGACTTGTGAATCAATTTCCTACAACATTCTCGTGACAGCTTATGCCCTATTGCATCCCTCCATTGTGCTGTTATGTCCCGCAATGTGTTTCTTCGATTTTTTTTACAAAGTTTTACAAGGAGCCTTTGACTTCTCTGTGAAACTAATTTCGGTCTTCCTGAACTTTTTCCTTTAACGTCTAGTCCACCAGTTTCGCGATAATGTGAGATTATATCCGCTACAGTGGACTTTGCTAAATTCAGTTCTTCACTAATTTCCAGAATTTTTTTACCTTGGCAATACTTCTTTACAATAAGTGCACGTAATGATTTTTCAAGTGGACGTCCACGAACCATTTTGTTAAAGAATATATATATTTTTCTATGGATCTTACAACACAGTTAGGTAAAGCAGGAAGAGGAGAATGATATTTATTAACAATCAAACAATTCACAGCGCCTACTTAGTGAAAATTAATTTTTTTATTTATTTGTCCGAATAATTAGTTGCCAAAGTGTATTCATTTTTTCTGAAAAATCCACAGTCATATTTGAATTAAAATTCTATGTAAAGTAAAACATTCAACTTTTTTATTAAAAACTATTCTTTGAAATCTTAGCTTCCTATTTTTATGTGATTTGATAATAAAAATTAAAAATTAATTCATAAAGAGTGGTTTTTGAACGCTCCGGTTAGTTTGTCCGAACATTTAGTTGTTAGGGCTCGTATTCAAAGAAAATACGAACTATTTCAGTCTTACAGCTCTCTCTAGGAGTATTTCAAGTCTTTCCTCTGGCGATTTGTCCTTGTGTTGTCTTATAAGAAGGTAGATTTTTTTCGGTTCACAACTGGTTAATAATTTCCGAAGAACAAGTTTTCCTAACAAGCCGGTGCTTCCGGTGATAAAGACTGTCTGGTTTTTGTAAAATTCCTGGATTTGACTCAGAGCCATGTTTATGGTTTTAAAGTAGGACGCCCTCGCTGGTCCTGCAGCTATTCAGTGTTTTTGGGGTGCAAAGGGAAAGCTGATCTACTTCTGGGGAGATCTTTTATTTTGTTAGTCTTAGTTCCGTGATGTGATGATAATTCTGTTCTGCGTTTTATTGTAGTAGTTCAAAAAGGAACGAATTTAGTACATAAACATCATCTCATTTTAATATTTGTTGTTATCTACAAAGAAACGTTATTTATTTTCTTAAAGTAAGTACTTTTTCATGTTTTTTTTTGCGTTGTATAATGTGTGCAGGCTTCAGGGAATGACGCAAGTTGAGTTTAAATTCCGTTTTTTATTCACTCCGGTTATATATTAAATTTCGCTCTTATGTCTTATGTCTTTTATAGCAAGATTTACCGTAATTAAAAGCGGTATTAAAAAAAACCTAGACAGTTTATCTGACATACTTTCTTAATCATTTTTATGAGACTAAACTGCAAAAAAAGAAAGCTTAGAATGCGACGCAGCGAGCATGTGCAGCTTTTATAAAAAATAATTCACTGATGTTTCTGAGAATCTAATTTTTAACAAAGAAATGATTTATTTTATACAAAAAAGAGGATCTTAAAAACAATTGTGATTGTGATTGATTATTACAGTTGACTCCTTACAGACTCTTTATTTAATTCTACTTCTGGAACTAAACTTAAAAAAAAATTAGAATGAGAGCGCAGTTCACATTTAATTTAAAAAAATAGTCCAATGTTTTAACACTTTCAGGAAAATCGGGTGAGTTATTCTTGATTCGTTCAATAAAATAGTTTTTTGTAAAATTAATTTGTGTTTTTTTATTGAAAACAATGGACGCATTGATAAACTACAACTACGGAGTGTCGTGTTTTGGTTAGGATGTATTCCGCAAAATTTTGAGATGTCACTAATAAAAAAACAAACACCACTTACCACCTTCAGGAAAATTTTAACACAATCCTTTCGTTCTCTGAAAAATTCAAATTCAAGTGCACACGGACGTTTCGGTTTATAACAAAGAAATTTGAAATCGAACTGACGTAGAAATGAACTTTTCTAACAGACACATCATGCATCTAACGAGCTCTACGCCGAATGTAACAATTTTGATGCAAGTTGAGTTGTTCTGCCATTCACAGAAGGTCACACTTGGTTTGGGGGCGATGGTCTCCTTTGACGTTCCCGTTGTGTTGACTATTTTTGTCATTAAAAATTTGCGCTTCTCCACCTTTTGGTAGGTGTGGCAGAAATACAGAATTACTTACTATGTAGCAAATAAGCGTATTACAATTAATCTACTTAATATGATAAAGCGTCTTTTGTTATAACTCAATTAACTGATGCAGGTAGGTGTTACACAAGAACGCAATTTAATGCACTGACACGTCGATGCGTATACTAAAAACGCATTGAAAGACTCTAAAACATGTACGGGGCGTTTTTTGCAGTCGCATTTTTTTTTCTAAACGCGAAATCTAGATGTAATGAGTGTCAAATAGCGATGGCACAGTACAAAGTAGAGTACAATGACGGATATAGAAAATATTACTCAGATGAAATATACACCGAGAGTTCTGCTGGTGTAGTCATGATTACCGACGTATAGTTATCCAAACTTTGCTGCGAATTATTTCAGTTTTCAGGTGATGCGTATATACTTTATATTATTTACTCCAACGTGAAAATATTAGAAGATTCGTGTTAGGAAACCGTATTCCAAGGTATAAATATGTTAAAAATAAGTCGGAGTGACATCAAATTAATCAAAAAAGCCACTTTAAAAAATATAAGCGTGGCAGCTATAGATTTGAGTTCAAATATGATACAAATAGTGGAAATCGGTGCTTTCAGTGACCTACTGCTATTGAGCGACCTCAATTTGTCCAAAAATCAGATAGAAGTATTAAATCCACAAGCAACAAGCAATGATAAATATGCGAGGACTAAACCGAATAGATCTTAGCTGCAACAAGACAGAACAATCGCGTCTCTTATTATCCGTTTACGATTTTTATATAGTTGGGTTGGCCATGAAAATCTAGTGAGTTTATTGGTATTCGATGCAGAAGAATAAAAATTTCCAGAACTTATTTCGTTAGGTTATATTTTATTAAATTAGAGGTTAAAAAATATGCCAGAAATATAAACATTGTTGCCGATGCTTTGTTTTCAGTAGCAATGACCAAGTTAACGGTGTCTATTTCTTAGAAAGCCTAAAACTTTACGCTATTTAAAACAGTTATTCGGTTTTTTGTAAATGTTTATTTTATATGCAAAAAATTCACGTAAACATTGTTTTTATATGAATGGGGGTTCTACATACGACTATTGTCGCATGCCACATTTAGCATCTCATCTTTAATTCTCAATCATCAGTTCGTTCTGCTCGCCCACTCTTCTTAGAAATGGAAATTTCGACCTTTGTGAATAGCCTATTTCTATATCTTCCAACTTCTTTTTTCACTTTTCTAAGATTACTAAAAGGGTTGGTAAAAGACAACAATCTTGCTCTAGTGCTTTGATGGGTTTAGCTCTTCTGAAAGATTTTTCCGGCCTTAAATTGAATGTTTTATCTAGATAGCTATTACTAATGCTTACGTAAGTGCTCTTTATTTGCTTTTACTAAGTACTTCCAAACGCTTATTAATAAGAACGTTACTATACGCCTCCTCCAGGTCCATGAAGAGTTACAAAAAAAATGAAAATGCTTAAAATTTGGTGCAAAGTTACAACGTGGATGATCTAACTAAAATTATACTTATTTTGTTGTACGTCAGGTATTTTTTCACATACTACCTTGGTAAATTTAGAAAGAAAGATGCGTAAAAATATCACCCCCCGACAAGCTACAATTCACTCCATTTCCATTATTTCGCCATGAAAATCTGTATCATCACCGTCATTTTCAAATTCAGATTCTGAATCAGATTCACATAGTGAAATAATGAAAGGAGGTATAAATTCGTACGAAAGATTTCCCATATTTTTTCCCAATCTGCCAAAATAACTTTTTCACAATGTTTACAAAAACAAACTCGCCTGATTTTCATAGCCAACCCTACTATATGTATAAAGATCGTGAACGGATAATAAATCCTGCAAACATTTTTTATATTAAAAAAAATTACAAACAAATTCATTGTTATAGCGCTGTCTAAGACTATCTGTCTGCCGATTTTCGTTTGTGTTGTGTTATAAAAAGATAGATTTTCTTCGAATGACATATGGTTAACAATTTCCGCAGAACAAATTTCCCCAACATGTCAATAGTTTCGGTTATAAAGATCGTATGGTTTTTGTGTAATTCCTGGATTTGGCACAGTCATGTTAATCGTTTTGTTCGGCGAAAGCTCTGTAACCTACTTTTGTGATATTGTGAACGTGATGATCATTCTGTTCTTCTTTACGATGTTGTCCAGAAATGAACAAAATCTTTTAATGTGTTTTTTGCATTTATGTATTACGTATACGTGTTATTTGGAGATGAAGGGTTTACAAATTTTATGGCAAAATTAAAACTCTAACTTGTCAGTTTAGTCACGGACTCACTTCTCTTTCGTCTGCAATTTTTTTTTTTTCATTGATGGCACAAAATGGTATTAGCTATTAACCAAAAAACAAACACCAGTTTCTTAAAATTTTAACACAATTCGTTTTTCACTGAAAAAATTTCAAATTGACTTGAACTTATAATTGATTATTCTAGTTTTTCTAGCAAATGCGTCATGCATCTAATTAGTTATGCAGGGAATTTGACATTTTTTTGCAGGTTCGCAGACGTCACACTTCATGTAGGAGGGCAATGTTCCATTCCAATGTTTTTTTTTTTTAATTTGTCACTATATATTCACCAAAATGTTGCCCTGCTGTAGCTCGTGGTAGGTGTGGCTAAGATGATTTATTGCGATTTTATTGACGAATATACCCAATTTTAAATTCCAGCAATTATGTTTACTCAAAATTGATCGCAAACAAAATTTACGTTTATAAAGTTACGTGCACAATATTATACAAACCTATAATTTTTAACAAAGTTTGCTCTCTCTAGGAGTATTTCAAGTCTTTCCTCTGGCGATTTTTCTTTGTGTTGTCTTATAAGAAGATAGATTTTTTTCGGTTCACATGTGGTTAATAATTTCCGAAGAACAAATTTTCCTAACAAACCGGTGCTTCCGGTTGTAAAGACTGTCTGGTTTTTGTAGATTTCCTGTATTTAGTTCAGAGTCATTTTGGTCTGTTCAGATCGGAACACTGTCGTTGATCCTCTGACTTTTCAGTATTTTCGAGGTATACATAGAGTGGAAACTTCATTCTTTACTGTGGTCACTTCAGAAACCCACAAACTTACCACGACGTGCATAATGTTTGCATGAATTATCATCCTATTATATTAGTTGTTGTCTGAAAAAACTATTTTTGCATTTGATTATTGTTTCAACGTAACATTTCAAGGCTTCAGATACTAAATTTGTGGCACTCCATGTTTAAATTACATTTTTTTGTTCACTTGTGCTATGCAGGGTGTTTTTGAAAGATCTGCAAAAGAATCTGGTAAATCGTCACAAAACAATTACCCCGGTCGACACTTTTTTGGGTCAGTTAACAAATATTAATTAAGTGCAAGGTCTACGTAAGTCAATAAGAAGTATGTTTGTCTATTGTGCAATGTGTGTTTTAAAGGACGAGGAATAATTCTAGCAATTTCTCCATCTTTTGATTTTTCGACTCCTCGATGTCTCAGTTTTTGAATTTTTTGATGTTTCGATTTTTCCATTTGTCGGTTTTTCGATTTGTTGATTTTTCAATTTTAGGATATTTTAATTTTTAAATGTTTCAAATTTTATATTTTTCGATTTTTCGATTTTTCAGTTCTTCAATATTTTTTAATTTTTCAAATTTTTACGACTTTTTGGCATTGCTTTTTTGGCTTTTCGATTTCTCAATTTTTCAATTATAACACAATATTGTTTATAAAATTAACACTCAAGTGGTAAGAACAACCGTATAATTTTTAACAAAATTTGCATAAGTTAATAATAATAGTTAATAAAATAAATTAGTATAACAATTCAACATAAACGCCACAGGACACACACAAGTGCAAAAGCAATACAATAATATAAGAATGAAATGCATTTTCGTTTTCGTTTGGCTTGCGGTAAAGTATGCATCGGATCTTTCAAGAAATGAATCCTTGCGTACATTGAACACATTTCAAAAAAACTCTTCCACTCCAGGTTCTCCATGTTGAACGGAAACAACTCGCGGTCTTTTTCCGTCAAGGCTTTCCACAACATTTCGCTATTACTGGTTTCATATTTCCAAAAGTTCACGTTAAAGTATCCTACTTCGCCACACACTTTGTGTAATTTTTGGTACATTTTGACGAATCTAAAAATGTTTTAATGTGAAAAGTTTGTGCACAAAAACACTCACCTTCGTTTTTTTCCAAGACACAGGCAAATCAGATCCACAATATACGCTGGTACGAGATGAAGCCAGAATTGGAGGAATTTAAGATAGTACTTGTTTGTGGTAGAAATCACGAAGCAGACATTAATGACGTGCGCGCTGGGGTAGAGTTTTGCTGTTACTTTTCCATACTCGTACAGTTTAGCTATGTGTTAAATGTTTCAAATTTTGTGAAGGTGACTAAATAAATGGCACTTACTTTTCGTTAAGAGATTTTTCTCAGAACCTGTATAGTTGTAGATCGGTGGAAGGGAACTTTTCTCTGTTGCGTAGCACGCAGCCGCCAAAATAATATTTGCTGTGTAATCAGATGGTATCAGGTATATAGGTTTAGTATCGGCTAGTTGGCAATGTATCAAACCTAGATACGCGCCTATGAAAAAGGCAGTGATACCTTGAATTGTGTCCTGCCAACCTGGTGCAGGTTCTTGGAGTGCCCCTACCACTGAAAACAATGCTCCAATAACTTCTTTCTAGTTTTATTTGTCTTATTTTTTAACTTACCAATCCCCGGTCTGACGATACAAATTGGCATATCTTGAGCTTCGGTTTTGATAACATTTTCGGCCACAGCTTTGGTGAATGTGTAGGTGTTGGGCCAAGAACCTAGAAGTCTGGAAAAATTGAGAAAAATTTTGAAATAAAACGCTCAATGAATAAAGAAAGCTTCAGATTTTTCGCGAAACTTTTACTTACTCTGGAGTGTTGTTTGTTATTGTTTCGTCATCCGTTGACTCCAACATTTTCATTAGCTTTGTGGCTGTCATTCCAGGCTCATAGAATTGTTCTTTTATTAAATCTTTTTGGTTACAGTTTGAGTAAGCTGTGGAAACGTGCACCATGGCCTGATGTAACGAAAAAATAAATTAATTAAAATTAATTAGTGTAAATATTATAAAATCATGGAAAAATTTCTGATTTCATCTTTAATACTAGAAAGTTGTATAAAAGTTACCACGCATACCTTTAAATCACGAACTTGTTTTGCCAAATGAAGGAGATCTTGAACAGCGCGAACGTTAACATATGCAGCCAGTCGTAAATGCTCGCTAAATTTTACAATAGCTGCAACGTGTATAATACAAGTCGTTTCATTTACTAGAGTCTCTCTATCATCCTGCGATATTCCCAACCCAGGTAAACTGCAGTCTCCTTCGATAACAGAAATCTTCCCTTTGAATTCCGATTTATCCCGTCTCAAGTCCTACAAACATTTTTTCTACGAGTATTCAAAGAAAATACGAACTATTTCAGTCTTACAGCTCTCTCTAGGAGTATTTCAAGTCTTTCCTCTGGCGATTTGTCCTTGTGTTGTCTTATAAGAAGGTAGATTTTTTTCGGTTCACAACTGGTTAATAATTTCCGAAGAACAAGTTTTCCTAACAAGCCGGTGGTTCCGGTGATAAAGACTGTCTGGTTTTTGTAAAATTCCTGGATTTGACTCAGAGCCATGTTTATGGTTTTAAAGTAGGACGCCCTCGCTGGTCCTGCAGCTATTCAGTGTTTTTGGGGTGCAAAGGGAAAGCTGATCTACTTCTGGGGAGATCTTTTATTTTGTTAGTCTTAGTTCCGTGATGTGATGATAATTCTGTTCTGCGTTTTATTGTAGTAGTTCAAAAAGGAACGAATTTAGTACATAAACATCATCTCATTTTAATATTTGTTGTTATCTACAAAGAAACGTTATTTATTTTCTTAAAGTAAGTACATTTTCATGTTTTTTTTTGCGTTGTATAATGTGTGCAGGCTTCAGGGAATGACGCAAGTTGAGTTTAAATTCCGTTTTTTATTCACTCCGGTTATGTATCGCTCTTATGTCTTATGTCTTTTATAGCAAGACATATTTACCGTAATTAAAAGCGGTATTAAAAAAAACCTAGACAGTTTATCTGACATACTTTCTTAATCATTTTTATGAGACTAAACTGCAAAAAAAGAAAGCTTAGAATGCGACGCAGCGAGCATGTGCAGCTTTTATAAAAAATAATTCACTGATGTTTCTGAGAATCTAATTTTTAACAAAGAAATGATTTATTTTATACAAAAAAGAGGATCTTAAAAACAATTGTGATTGTGATTGATTATTACAGTTGACTCCTTACAGACTCTTTATTTAATTCTACTTCTGGAACTAAACTTAAAAAAAAATTAGAATGAGAGCGCAGTTCACATTTAATTTAAAAAAATAGTCCAATGTTATAACACTTTCAGGAAAATCCGGTGAGTTATTCTTGATTCGTTCAATAAAATAGTTTTTTGTAAAATTAATTTGTGTTTTTTTATTGAAAACAATGGACGCATTGATAAACTACAACTACGGAGTGTCGTGTTTTGGTTAGGATGTATTCCGCAAAATTTTGAGATGCCACTATTAAAAAAACAAACACCACTTACCACCTTCAGGAAAATTTTAACACAATCCTTTCGTCCTCTGAAAAATTCAAATTCAAGTGCACACGGACGTTTCGGTTTACAACAAAGAAATTTGAAATCGAACTGACGTAGAAATGAACTTTTCTAACAGACACATCATGCATCTAACGAGCTCTACACCGAATGTAACAATTTTGATGCAAGTTGAGTTGTTGTGCCATTCACAGAAGGTCACACTTGGTTTGGGGGCGATGGTCTCCTTTGACGTTCCCGTTGTGTTTGTTGACTATTTTTGTCATTAAAAATTTGCGCTTCTCCACCTTTTGGTAGGTGTGGCAGAAATACAGAATTACTTACTATGTAGCAAATAAGCGTATTACAATTAATCTACTTAATATGATAAAGCGTCTTTTGTAATAACTCAATTAACTGATGCAGGTAGGTGTTACACAAGAACGCAATTAAGAGGTCTATTTTGTAACTCTTAACGATCTCGCTAGAGCATCGTTAGCTTACGATAATCGTTCCCTTAACGATTTTGGTACCGATGGCGATTTTGTAACATCTATCGTCTCGTTACATAGCGATCGTATCGTTAGAATGTCATCGTTCCGGAACGATAGGTTTCAGCTCACCGTTAGAAGTGTCAGAACACGTTAGAAAAGTATTTATACAATGAAGAGGAACGTTTTGGTGCAAATATGGGTAGAGAAGGTAAATGTAAGTAATTAATGTATGTTTGGATTAGGTTGATAACTTATTATATATTTTTTTTACTGCAGAGACAGAATGAGAAATTTGTCTCGGGTCTTAAGAGATGTAAACGACCCCTTGATCGTTGGAGAAGAAACCTTTAGGAAGACCTACCAACTGTAATGGGAAGCGGCGAGAGGCACATTTCCAGAAATACTGCCGCAGAGTTCTGTATTATTCACCAGAAGTTGCAGGAAAAATTATATACTCATGTGCTGTTTCACACAACATCTTACGCATAAGAAATATCGAAAATGACGAGATCAATATTGTCTATGACAAGGAGAACGATAATAATGAAGAACTTGAATATGAAGAACACAATTTACTACATGAATGGCATATCACAAGAAATAATTTAATAATACAGCATTTTCAATAATGTATTTATTATTTTTTTTTACAACATAATGAAATTATTAAACAGTTCCTCTTTCATATAGTCTTAAATTTCTGACCTTCTTTCAAACATTGAATTTCCAATCTACAAATCTCTGGAACACACAGTGACGTTTACTTACCAGGCAGTACATTGTAATTAGAGTGTCCTATGTTATATTCTTGATGTACTAAAAAACACAGAGGTTATGGTTTATTGTGTAACAGTATTTATAAAGATTAAACATCTCAGTTCTCATAATTGATTGGTCATGACTCATGACTAAACAAGATGTTCACTTTGTCTTAAACAAAGTGTTGATGTAAGCAGAATAATTGCTAATAGTGGTACGATAAATTATAGTAAAGTACACATTTTTAAAAAGAGTGTTCGGGCGATTAATTAATTACACATACCTCTCTGAACTGCTGAACACTTTTTTGTGGTCCTCCCACAGAATTTAGTTTTGCTACCAACCCTTCCCATATCTTTTCTAAAAGATCTGGGTTGTCCGCTACGAACTTTTGGGCCCTAAAATCTACATTACCTTCTAACTCCTCCACATATAACTCATGTTGCTGTTGGGTAATACGCTGGGCCCCTTTACGTTTTTCCATTGCTCCCGTGAACGTATTGTAAACTGAATTTCGTGTTAGTGTGATTATTTTGATGTTTTTCTTTTATAATTATTGTTTACTTACATGTTATAAGTTCACAAATTTATCCAAACTTCAATCAGTAGCAAAACAAATGTCACATGTCACAACAGAGAACAACGTAATCTAGACGCTAAACAAATCTAAATACTACCCATTTTAAAAACATTAGATTCATCGTTCCGCTAACGATTTCAAAACTTTACGATTACGATAGTGTTTATAAAATTGGAAATTTGTACAATCTCGCTAAACTGATTTTACGATTGCTTCTAACGATTATCGTTTGGGAACGAGATCGTTCTGGAGCGATAAATTACAAAATAGACCCCTTAATGCACTGCCACGTCGATGCGTATACTAAAAACGCATTAAAAGACTCTAAAACATGTACGGAGCGTTTTTTGCAGTCGCATTTTTTTTTTCTAAACGCGAAATCTAGATGTAATGGGTGTCAAATAGCGATGGCACAGTACAAAGTAGAGTACAATGACGGATATAGAAAATATTACTCACATGTAATATACACCGAGAGTTCTGCTCATGTAGTCATGATTACCGACGTATAGTTATCCAAACTTTGTTACGAATTATTTCAGTTTTCAGGTGATGCGTATATACTTTATATTATTTACTCCAACGTGAAAATATTAGAAGATTCGTGTTATGAAACCGTATTCCAAGGTATAAATATGTTAAAAATAAGTCGGAATGACATAAAATTTATCAAAAAAGCCACTTTAAAAAATCTAAGCGTGGCAGCTATAGATTTGAGTTCAAATATGATACAAATAGTGGAAATCGATGCTTTCAGTGACCCACTGCTATTGAGCGACCTCAATTTGTCCAAAAATCAGATAGAAGTATTAAATCCACAAGCAACAAGCAATGATAAATATGCGAGGACTAAACCGAATAGATCTTAGCTGCAACAAGACAGAACAATCGCATCTCTTATTATCCGTTTACGATTTTTATATAGTAGGGTTGGCCATGAAAATCTAGTGAGTTTATTGGTATTCGATGCAGAAGAATAAAAATTGCCTGAACTTATTTCGTTAGGTTATATTTTATTAAATTAGAGGTTAAAAAATATGCCAGAAATATAAACATTGTTGCCGATACTTTGTTTTCAGTAGCAATGACCAAGTTAACGGTGTCTATTTCTTAGAAAGCCTAAAACTTTACGCTATTTAAAACAGTTATTCGTTTTTTTGTAAATGTTTATTTTATATTTAAAATTTTCACGTAAACATTGTTTTTATATGAATGGGGGTTCTACATACGACTATTGTCGCATGCCACATTTAGCATCTCATCTTTAATTCTCAATCATCAGTTCGTTCTGCTCGCCCACTCTTCTTAGAAATGGAAATTTCGACCTTTGTGAATAGCCTATTTCGATATCTTCCAACTTCTTTTTTCACTTTTCTAAGATTACTAAAAGGGTTGGTAAAAGACAACAATCTTGCTCTAGTGCTTTGATGGGTTTAGCTCTTCTGAAAGATTTTTCCGGCCTTAAATTGAATGTTTTATCTAGATAGCTATTACTAATGCTTACGTAAGTGCTCTTTATTTGCTTTTACTAAGTACTTCCAAACGCTTATTAATAAGAACGTTACTATACGCCTCCTCCAGGTCCATGAAGAGTTACAAAAAAAATGAAAATGCTTAAAATTTGGTGCAAAGTTACAACGTGGATGATCTAACTAAAATTATACTTATTTTGTTGTACGTCAGGTATTTTTTCACATACTACCTTGGTAAATTTAGAACGAAAGATGCGTAAAAATATCACCCCCCGACAAGCTACAATTCACTCCATTTCCATTATTTCGCTATGAAAATCTGTATCATCACCGTCATTTTCAAATTCAGATTCTGAATCAGATACACCTAGCGAAATAATGAAAGGAGGTATAGATTCGTACGAAAGATTTCCCATATTCTTTTCCAATCCGCCAAAAGCAGTTTTTCACAATGTTTACAAAAATTTTTCCACATGCTTGGAGTACATTTAGAGAGCGCCTCAAGCAATAAATTCTCCACACTATTTTTTAATGAAGGTTGAGAATTTATATGCTTGTTGTAATAGTTCTTACAAAATCCCCACGCCATTTCAATTGGATTATATTGACAATTTTTTTTTCTGTTGTTTCTGAAGGGTTTAATTAAATCCCACAATTGTTTCTTCGAAATTTTTTTTGTCAAATTCAACACTATGTTTAAAGAGCCATTCCTGCATTTCACATTTGTTACTAGTAAAAGTGGGTGGTTTATCCAACTGAACCGAATGATACGATGCATTGTCTAAAACCACCACACATTTTTGGTTCAACTTTGCCAAAGCAGGAATGATCTAATTAACCACCCAATTTTGAAAAATTGTCCCGTCCATTTTTTTATGATAGTCTGAATGGTTATTTTTTGAATTTAAAAAATTGTTACAACCACCCAAGAACCCCGTTGAACAACCCGCGTGGAGAATAGTAAACCTTGATCCTTCACTTTTAATTTTGGTTGGATTGCTTTTTAGATCAATATCGTGCACCCAGCGACGAATGGACGAACCATTTTGATAGATCCATGTTTCATCCGAATACACGAAAGTCAAATTTTCACAAGAATTTAGAAACTGTAAATATGTTCCCAAAAAGGTAACGACATGTTTTTGTTCACATAGAATTTTGCGACCATTTACTTCCCTGTGTTTATAACCCATTGACTTAAGAATTTTGTATAATGTGGTTCGCCCCCCTTTAAATTCCAACTGTTCCCTAGAATATGCCAAAAGAGCATCTACAGTAAAATATTCGTTTTTTTCATTAAGTTGCCAAATTTGTCGTTGCAGGTCTTTCCGAAACATATAATTTGTAAACAAATCCATTGGTTTTTGCTTTCCAGATAGTGATGATGTTAAATTTTGGTCCCCTGTTGATAAAATTTTCGCTACAGTTGATGTTCCCACCTATGAGAAAAAAAATTAAAAACTATTTTTTATATTCGAGACTCATGGTTACTTCTTCGAAAGAAGGATCGGGCCTGTCTTTTCGAAACTGCAAAAAACATCTTTTTATTGCAGTAAAACTATTTTAGGCATTTTCTTTTTAAATAATGTCGCAATGATCTGTGAATCTGTTACAATGAGATATTATCTATGCCGACAAAATTATAAACATTTGTTTGCTTGATTAAAAAATTGCGTCTAAGAATTCTGATCTAATAAATGAAGTAGAGAAGTGGCAATCCAGCTCAAAGCAAATGCCAATCAGACTACTGACAGACAAAACACTAAATCATCAACTCAGTTTATCCAACTTAAAGAAAAAATATCAAAGCCTACTTTACTATATAAAGATCGTGAATGGATTACGTGCACCCTCAAGTTCTTGAAGATATGTTGTCTTAACAACTGTCAATTAATTTGGATCACAAGTTGATCGAAGAGGTGGACCATATTTTTGACAACCGCTCTTTTTTGGAAATTTGGCTGAATAACAATCCAATCGAGCATTTTGCGGGTGTTTGTAAACACGAATGTAACACATGGCGTATAATTTTGACCTGTACTAAACTAAACGAGACAGAAACTGAATCTGCACGAAATTCTAGTATGTGCAACAGGGCGTACTGTAAGGAAGCAAGTAGTTTCAGTGTTGTTGTTGTTGTTGCTTTAGTGCTTATAAATGTATATATTATTTAATATTTGGCGAATTTTAATCCATGGAAACTTTTATTGCAGTTGTTTAGGACGAATGAGCTTGTGAATATTTTATAAATCCTAATCTATTTGTCCGAAAGATGAAGAAGTTTATTTTGGTACAAAACAATTATTAAAAATCTGTGCCGTGTAAATCATATCAGGATTAGTTCTAATGTCTGTCGCAACTTCCTCAATAGAATTCCTTAGCTGGTGAACTGTGTCCAACGGGCCTGATATACTATATACCGCCACAAAAAGAAATCGCAAGGATTGAGGTCGAGAAGCCGAGGAGTCCATAAGACCATTTCTGCCCTGGGTAGTTCTCGTTAAAACACGCACCCACTTCACGGGCATAATGAGCAGAAGCCCCATACTGCAGATACCACATATCACGTCGAGTATCTAGTGGTACATCTTTTAAAAGGTTGCCTAAGATGAGGACCCATTAGGTGGTTTCTAAGCATTCATGTCCAAACATTGACAGTGAAGAGATCCTGAAAGTGCGTTTCTTGAATTGCGTGGGGATTCTCATTTGACCGGCTTGAGTGTTTTGGGAATTAAAAATACCATCTCTGGTAAATAGTTTTTCAGTAAAATGCGACGTATGTGGACGAAATCCTCCATTTTCTCGGAGACGCTGAACA